CTTTCCTTCTGGCATCTTCATTTAGCAAACTATTTTTAACTATGTTTATAGTTATAGTCTCCTCTGGCATGGAGTTAGAAATTGTCACCATATATGTTTCTCAACTTTTTGATAAATAGCTAAAAAGTAATAATCCTTGCATATCATCATCTATATTCATTTTCATAGTAACCAGCTTGTTTGCAAGACTTTGAAATGAGCTTATGTGCTCAACAATGTTACTACCATCTTTATATTTTAAATCGATAAGCTTTTGAGGAGAGAAATTTTATTTCTCGGTGCCTTTTTCACAAAGATATTTTCTAACATTTATCAAATAACATTAGCTTTGATTTTATCAAAAATATGCTTTTGCAAATTTATATCCATCCATCTTCTAATATAGGCAATAGCTTTTCTATGTTGAATCTCTCATTTCCCATCTTTCAATGCAAATTTTTTTCTTTAATTTTGATAGGCTTATACAAATCTTTATAATATAGCAAATCTTCTATCATAGACCTCAAAGTGGAATATGTTACCCAAAACAAATATTAACCAAAGCAACATAAATAGTAGAATAATGAATCAATCATAAAGTGAGACACTAAATTTTTACGTGAAAAGCCCAATGCGGGAGAAATCACAAGACCGTAGTCCACTTCAAATCTCCACTATCACCAATAATGATAATAGGTTTACAATAAGTATTCTCCAAAATAACTAGAGGATCATAATAACATCAAGAATACAGATCTTGGCTCAATAATAACATATCATCATTGCCATATATGAATTTCATCAAAGGAAAGGTTTAAGTCTCACCAAGTGAGTATATCAAAAAAGCACTTCGGAGAGGACAAATCGTAGATTGGCACCATTAGGATCGTAGAGTTTATTGTAAGGATTCTCTATATAAGCTAAAGTCGATGAAATTTAATCACTTGATCAAATGCCTCAAAACCAAGCTTTCTCTCTCCTCTCTCTTTCTTTTGTTTATTAAGTAGATCTTTTTCCGTTGGCCTACCTCTTATGCCATCCACGACCTTACTTTTTTTCTTTTTTAATAACTGATTAGATTTAGGCTCAATGCTCCTATTGTCCGGTTCAAGCCCGGGTTAGATCTAATAATATTTTAATTATCTAAGTTGGGAGTTTATTCGAAGTAAACCGAGAAACTTCTTCTAAATTGATCCCAAGTTAATTTCTATTAACATCGAATAAATTAGACTCCAATTATGCCCAACCTTGTAAAATTAGGTCAAGATATTTTCAACAATACTCCTCTGCTTAAGTTAGTAGACGATTTAGAGGATTCAACTAGCATTATAAGAGAAAAGATTATGTAAAATGTGAGATGTCTATTATCTAATATTGAAATATTGGTCACTTAGATACTAGAATATCAACTACTCGAGGATCCAGCGCTGAGATGATGCCAACCATATTAGTATTTCTCTTTCACCATTAAATCACCTCTTCAACTGGTCCGTTTGCAAAGAGAATCACTCTAGAGGTTTCACGTTTAACAGCTATGACAAGCCTTAATGGTAACTAATAGTCAAATAACCTACTAAACTACTACTAATAGCATCAAAATTAAAAGGAGGGCATACTACATACCTGGACATGTCTCAGTTGAGATGACACTATAAACTTGACTCTTACTTGTGATAAAAGGGAAAGGAAAAACTGAGTTAACTTTATCAAATCATATTTCAAACAAGGAAAAATATAAATTTCAACTCCACCATAACATAGTCGGTATCAAAGTACCGTAAGCATAAAAAAAGAAAGAAACACGTCAACAAAGTGTTGAATATGATGAAATCAATTGATAGAGTTAATGATCTAATCTATATTTTGAGTAACGGAGGACTAGCTTCGATCATAAAAAGATAATTAAATCAGGAAGAATCAATGTTAGACCAGATTGGAACATGTTAGAAGATTGGACGTCGAGCCGGAGGATCGATCGACGTATCGATAGAAGGCTTTCTGCCATGAGTTCGAGCATCGGGCCAAGAAGATCGAACATTACGCCAAGGAGATCAAATGTTGCGATAAGGTAACATGCCGATTGGGTAATACGTCGAAGAAGAAGACGATGCGCCGAAGGGTCAGACAAAGCGCTGAATAAACCAACGACATGTCGGACAACATGTGATTAATGCTCTGTAATAAGTCTAGATCGAAGTAGGTTTAGTTCTAATTGGATTGGTTTAGAATATAATTAGGCCTACTTAATTAGGGGCTCATTGGGCCTGAGTTGCAACTATTTTGGGCCAAGTAGAAGGCCCATTCGATCACCCAAGATTATATGGAACCACCCATGAGTTGTAAAAGTCAATAGCACACTTTTCCATGCTACCAAGCAGTGGTACCACTCAATGTCAAATTGGGAGGTGATGGTACCACCCAGTGCAAGCGATGGTGTCGTCTATACCCCAAAAACTCGAGGATTTGAATTTTGGCTCCAAGTTTTGAAGCCATTTGGGGTCTATAAATACCTCACAAATTTCTGCTTGCAATAGATACAAAAAGAGAGCAAAAACTCTATGATTCCAAGATTGTAAAACTCTTTTAAGTATAGAGTCCCTCCTCCAAGAGCTTAGTGACAGTCCCAAGGGAGATGTGTGAGGGAACACTTGTAAAACAGGGGTGTAAATGTTCTCTCCTGAACTTGCAAAAAGAAGAAAGAGTGTAAGGGTAGTTGATTTTCACCCATTGGAAAGAAGATCGATGGTGAAAAGTCGGTGGCCTCGAGTGAAGCAGAATCGGTAGTGGACGTAGGTCACAATGACCAAACCACTATAAATCGGTTTGCATTTATGTTTTACTATTTACCTTTATTGCAAACTGTTTTACTTTCTCGTTACTTTAACTGCACACTCGTATGAACGTTTTCAAAGTTAAACACTCCTTGATACGATTTTATCGTACGAAGATTTTCAACTCGACGTAAGTTTTACGTACGCACCAATTCACCCCCCACGCCGTTCTCTTAGTGCCGTCTTAATCCTAACACAAAGAACAATATATCTACAATAAATAATGTGCCGAGTTAATGCTGAGTTCTAGACCAAATCTATAGGAGCAAGCTAATTGCACGTACCAATGGTGCCAGCATAAGTTCTTGAGAAATCGTAACAAATTGAACATACCGATGACAATTCAGAATTTCATATAAAATAACATTTTATTTAATTATATACTTGTACTACAATTATATACAAGCCAGTATATAATTGTATATAATTGTTAAATATAATTGTAGTACAATTCATATACTTGTATATTTAATTATATACAAGCCAGAATTTTTTGTCACGTCTTCACTTTCACCCCCATATGCATAGGACACAAGGAAACAGCAGTTTAATTGCACAATAGCTCATTATGGATGCCCAACGATAACACAGACTACTAACAAAGAGCCACTCATGAGCTCAGCCTTAGTCTCAAGTATCAGGCACGAATTTTCTACAATAATCCATGGACTAAGTAAGTGACACAAACGGATGCAAATTTCTCCAGCCTTTCAGCAATATATTCACATTGCAGGAGAAGATATCCAAGCAACTTCATTGTATACTATGCACAATCAGTAACATACTACTGGCCGTCTTTCATTGTCACCTCAGGCACTGAATCCCTTCTGGAGAGAACTCCACTGACCGGCAGGAATGCTAATGCAAGCTTCAGCAGACACCTCAGCCATCATCTCCTTGCTGATACCCGCATTGCAGATGTTTGCTAGAGACCGCATATGTTTCATCCCATACTGAGATAGAGATCCACAGTGTGCTTCAAAAGTCCTCACCTGGAAAGAGAAAAAAAAAAGACATCACAGCTTTATAAAATTCAAAGGAACAAAAACCAAAGAATTTCCCACATATTCCATAGGTTATAGGTTATCTAACACAAGTTTCGTTGTTGAAGTTCCTCAAGAATGAAATTGAGTACAACTGGTCTTGCAAATCATGGATCTGTAGATTGTACCTTCATATATTTTTATCCAATAGAACTGGAAATAATACACCTATTTATTCGCCAGTAAATTATAAAGCAGAAGTCTTCACTTAGATAAAAAATTGTGCCATGTCCAACCAAATTGGTACCGACAAGAAAATGCTTGAAAATAGACTCAATTGCATGATGACAAGATCTGAAACATCAATATGATAGAAAGGTATTGCTACAAAAGCAGCCACAAACGAACTAGGACAAGTTTCACAATCCGATCTTGTTATCATGGCAAACATGAGCCAGAAACCAAAACTGGTATTTCAATCTTGATTTATGACTGCCTTAAATAGCCATAATTACATTCATAATTCATTCTGTTCATCCATAATTACATCCTTAAGGGTCTTTTTTCTTGTATCAAGTCGAAAGGAACATGCTTAAAGGCCCCCATACAGTTACAGTTAGTTTAACATTAATGAGAATCCCCATCAAGATATGATAGTGTTTGGAAACTCCCTGGTTGTTAGCATCCTATGCAAGAATGACAGGCCAAGTTGTCTGCCATCAAAGGTGAAGCATAAGATACTACTTGGGAAGGACTCATAGGCATGCTAACAGAAGACAATTTTGAAATTGTTAAAAATCATGTTGATCAATATACTCACCATCGATTTGAGGCAGGACCAATCATCCACTAAAGGCTGGCCTGCAGGGCGAACAGTTTTCAGCACTTCTGACCCTTGCTTAGAACCGAACAACAACTTCCCGATGAATTCTATACTATTGTCTATATGCAACCGATGTGATATTACTTCGAGAAGTTCCTTCTGAGCGTTACGTTTATGAGAAGAGCCTTCACGTGCCTTTTGATACTTCAATAAGAAAGGTAAAGTGTCAGTCTGAAACAACAGATGAAGCAATTGAAACAAGTAAAAACACAAAGTTGCACTAGGTAATGCCAGAACCAGGTACTGCATTTAGGGATCAGAAAGCATGAGAAGAATGAACAGAACAAGCAAAGCAAACTACAGAGTAAGGAAGATGCCAACCTTATGCCAGAAGTAGATTAAATCTGCATCCCGCTGATTAACAGCAGCGTTAGAAAATGATGATAATGAGTTATCATCAATGAAAGTGGCATTTTCATTGGCAGGATTTGAACCCACATACAAGAAAAGGTTTTGCATGTTGAGTTCGAGTTCCCCATATTCCATGACATGTGAACCAAACAAATACGTATCGTTAACAGCAGTTCTGGTCTTTACCTAAAAACACCAATAGAATGAGTTTATTAGACCCAAATGGCCATTTAAACAGGTGACAAGAAATAAGGAAACCATAATCTCAAGTGCTCACCAGCTGATACTGCTGCTTCAATGTTTCAGTCCTCAAATTGTGTTTATCACTGTTACATGCAAAAGCACCGGTTAGCTTAGGACTTATGATAGACAACCAAAATAATGCAAGAGATAAGAAAGCTGTATTAATCAAACCAAACCAAAATTTCTTCTTTAATTCAAAAGAATCTATATTAAACATGGACAAAATACGGATCATTCCTCTGTTCGATATTGGTTACAACATGACTAAATGTTACATCTTTGTTAGCTCCTATCACAATCATGTTTCTTAAGTATGTACTACAACCACAGTTTTCCTTTAATTCACATTACTGCCACAATGAAAGTGATTTGTGTTAATGTCAAATGGAGAAAAGACAAAGATGAAAAAGCTTCATGCTCAATACTACTAAAAGAAGCATATATCTAAAGAAAGATATCAACTACAAAGTATTAATTTCAAAAAAAATAAAAAAGATTGTCAATATATTGACAAATAAATGTCACTAAAACCGTTCATAATTTCTAGATCTCGAGAAAAAAATGTTCTATGATTTTATTTTTTTTACTTGAAAAGCAAGGGGGCATAACCCTCTAAGCGTCAATCAAACTCTACGTTTCAGATAAGATTATACAAGGAATGGTTGTGAATTTTTGTTTTGCAAAGGCAAACTATTCATGGTCTAACAATAGAAAAATATGGACCAAATTTCATTTAGAAGAAATGCGTCATTTACCTGTCCTCCATCCAAGCAACACTGTACAAATCCCCCAGACAGGTATAGAACTCTGGGGGAGGGCTAGGGTGCTGTCCCGGGCAGTAAGTTCCCCAACTACTCTCATAAGCATTTGATGCTGTGGTTGCATATATATTTATGTCTTCAGGGAGAAGACCCTCAAAAATGCTCCCAGATTCACAAGCTTCGAGATAAAATACCTGAAACAGTAAACCAAAAAAAAAAAAGATTTTCAATCTAGATAATCCTATGCAACCATGTGGTGTGAATAGATGTTACCATGCTTCTATAAGTTCCAGACGCATGCTTTTTCTTTAACACATCAATCAAATCATCAGCATAAAGGTAAGGAAAGGTGGGCATCCCTGTAAAGTTTCAGGACAGGATAAAAATAAAAGATCAGTCTGCATTCAAACATTGCAGTTTCTGTTAACATGCATAACAAGGAATGTTGAATAGTTGTTTCCCCATGATATTGTTTAACGATGTCCTCCAGTTAAATGAGACGGCGTAAGTTGCATAGGGATGACCTTTGCTTAGAAATGATGCAAGGATTTGACAGCCATTAAAAGCCTGACTATTGATAAAAGTCAAACTTCTTGACAGGCAGAAAATATGATTTCCTTCAGAGCATGCAAGCAGGGAAAAAGAAAAAAATAGAGATCTTGTAATATTTAAATTCGTAATGGCATGATAATAGCTAGTGGAAACGACTAACCAAGAACTCCAGGTCCACCATGATCAGAGTAGAATATGAAGATATGATCATTTGGACCACTATCTACTACCTTCCCACTTCCTCCAGTTAAAGCAGTTCTATTTCCAAGGAGTACAGCAAAGAAGTTGTTCACATTGACATCATCTCCAACATAATCCTGCAAGTTGTTCCCAGGCTGAGACAGAGAATCACAGATGACGGACACAATAAATAAACTATGGTGGAATGAAAACCTTTGGAACTCCAGCATAAACATCCCCACCCTCTGGGTGATTGATTATGATCCCAGGTCTAGGATTTTCCACATGTTTTGCAATGTCATCATACATGAAAATGATAATGTTCTCATCTTTCAGTCCACCATTCTTCATAATTTGATAAGCATGACAAATATCTGCCTGATTCATGTTTTTAATGAGAAGTGTTAGAATACATGCAAACAAACCTAAAAACTGAACCAAGATACAGAAATGAGTTTTTCCTATAAAAATTTCTTCAAATTTCAGAATAAAAAAATACTTTTTGGAAAGGAACTTTCTCTACCACGATCAAGGTCCAAAAAGTCACAAGGCCAAAGTTAAAGTGAAATTGCATAATAGAAAAGAAAAGAAAAGACCATTAAATTTTAATATAAAAAAATCATCACCACTAATTCAGGCTTCATGATCAAGAAAACTATTTTAGTATGTTAACTGGCAGAAAAAAGTTAACATGCAATCTCATGTCACCTAAAGCAGCTCACATAGGAAAAAAAAAAGAATAAATTAACACTAAACCAGTACAACTGCCATATAACTACGTACACCTCTAAGCCAGGTATGTAAATCTGATCCCAGAAAAAAAAAGGAAAGATCGAAAAAAATATAAAGGATTACGTCAGTCATATGGCAGCAAAAGAAGTTTGGAAGTACAAGTGATGACACTCAGGAAACAGACAATTTTCTTGAACATGAGCAAGTAAAAGCTGAAGACAACCATAAGAACCATGTAGGCAGTCAATCACTAGATTACAGGATAAAAACCAATCTTTGGGCATAAAATGATGAAGAAATTACATGTTGTGGATGCCTTAGGGCTTTGACAAATATTAAAGATTTCATAAAAAAGGACAAACATTAGCAAGTACTTCCAAGGAGAACCTTTCCTCTCTCACACAATAAGTCCCATTGATGGTCGACCGATAACCTACAAATACAGTAAGTCCACAAGGAAATGAAAAGGACTGCCGAAAATACCAACACCAAGCACTTCCAACCAATACCTACTCTTCCCTTTGTCACCTAACACGCACAAGCAATAGATCCAAGATTCCTGCATCCAACCTGTTGCCAATTCTCCAAAAAAAAAATAATAATAACATTGATGAATTTAGAAATTTACAAGAAAAATTTGATATGGCTTGGGATTCAAACAGTCGATCGGAGCTTTTTACAACATGCTGCAGGGAAAACGACAAGCGAGAGGGGACCAAAACGAAGCAAATAAATTAGTGAGCAACCCAATGAGAGCAACAACATGACGGCATGTTACAACGGAAGACGTATCATGCGCCCCCTTGTCAACTACCACTCGGTCAAACTCCCAAGTACTTGTTCAACAAATATTCCTATCAATCTAAAAATATTAGGAGAAAGTAATAAATTTGATCGCGAAATCGGTGTCTAAATAAAAATTGATACATCTGTTACCTCTTTAAATTCAATTACAAAAAATTGCAATTAAAGAAACAGATATAAAAGAAAATTGGAAGAGTTAACCTTTGTGATTAACATCGTAAAAACCACTTCGTTATTAAAGAAGAAAAATACTACAAACCAAATCGAAGATGGAAACAAGGAAATATGGCAAGAAATAAAAGAAAAGAAGAGGAAGAAATGAAGTCGGGTACCAAGCACAAGAAAGAAAGAAGAGAGGGAGGAGGAAGGATAATAGCGGCGGCGCTCTATACACCTGATGGCGGTAGTTGTAGAAGCCGCGGGATCCGGCGATGAGGACGGCCCACTTGGCGCCCACCGCGTCGTCGGCGGGGCGATCGGACGGGAGACGGATGGGGTTGCGGATGGCGTGGGCGAGCAGCAGCGGGAGGAGGAGGAGGAGGAGGAGGGAGGCGGCAGGGGATCGGCCCATAGTGACGTCTCGGGTCGGTCGCGGGATCGCACCGAACGGCAAGGGGGCGGTGGTGGAGTTCTTATAGGCCTATACTGCTACGTGGCACGTGCTTTGCAGTTCGTGCTGTTCCTGATGGACTAATCGGAACGGTTCAGGACGGGACGGGATCGGATCTGATCGGAGCATTGGACGTGGGACCCACGAGGCAATAAAGTAGACATACTCCACTACTGATTTTATGTATTTTATTCGTTTATTTTATTTCACCTTTTTAGTGTCAAGTATTTATGACAAGAATGCACATATAGTTTATTACAAATCTTTTGGCAACGTCAACATTTTCTTTTCTTCTTCACACACAACCATTATTCAGTGACAAAAAAAGAAAAGAAAGACGACAGTATCGGGAGCTGAAATGACATGTCATGTAACTCATATGCCAAGTTGGGAATAATCCAATTCTGTGAGCTCAGCCACCATGGTGTTGGTGTAAACAACTTTTTTTAGTCGTGGCCTCGGGGCCGACGCGGCTGGTTCAGGGGCCGAATGGTGGGGATCTCCCAGGGGGTTTCCTCGGGACTGTAGAGGTCGCCGGCTCGGGTCGGTTCGGTCATGGGGGGGGGGGTCGTCATTTCCTCCGGGAAGGGACTCCTCGCCTGTGCGTCCGGTGAGAGGCGCCTCGTCTTCGCACCTGCACAAAGGTCGGGCCGGTAGCTCGGCCCGACCCCTCCGACGATCAAGTCAATGGAAGGTTGCAGGGGGTTTGAGGGTGTTTTTGTGTTGTTTTTTCTCCTTCCCTTCCGTTTAGAATGCGAGGGTATTTATAGGGAAGCTTTCTGTTCCCTAATGTGACCGCTTGCAAGGGGCAGGCTGGTGCTCCTGACAGTAGCGATAGCGTAACGTGTTGGACTTGGCTTTTACAGGATATTAATGTGCTTCGGTCGGCGTTATGATTAATTCCGAGGTGCGTGACGTCATCTGGAGCAGCTGACGTTGTCCTAAGACTGATTGCCATTTTTACCCTCATCAGATGGAGTAGCCACTTCACTTCGGTGTTCATCCACTCGATGCAGCAGGAAGAAGAAGACGACTCCCAACTTGAGCACCAAGTAAGAAAGATAGGGCGCAACAAGAAGTCTCTCATGTGTCAACTGGCTACTGCATTTTGTTCCCCGTTTGATCTAATGGCAGCGAGTTGCCTGTAACAAGAAGACAAGGTCATACGCATCATTCCTGAATTGAAGGTCGAGACAGCCTTCGTGGACAAGCAACGTCGCTTGTGATAACTTCTTCAACTGGATAACCTACTTCATTCATCTTCTAAAGCCTTGGTCTGTGAAAGAACAAACCATTGGAAAGTCCGCATGCTTCATCAACCAAAAATGAAAAGAAAAATATGTATCAACGGTAGAAAGATGTTGATGTTAGCATCAAATCTATAATCATATGTTATCTGTAATGCGAAAAAAAATTTATGTCAAAATTAAAATCAAATAAAATTAAATCTAACAATATGACGATACGTACCTTTTATTGTTGTTCAGAAAAATAAACTTTATCTTATTTACTAGCGCACCATTGTCGGATCTAAGATATCAATCTGCAAGAAGAATTAGAAATTTATTTTCTTTTTTTCTTCTCTTTTTACAGGACCACTTAGATTGATGAATTAGGGAGATTGAAAGAAAAACTTTAATTTCTCAAGATGTGTCTCTTTAGGTCATAGAGGTCCTATCTATTGATAGGCGAGAGCAAAGGGTCTAAAATAAGTTATTAAGATAGTTCGTAAGTAAATAAGACCGTATAATTTAATAGTTCCTCTCATCAAAATTATCTCATAAGAAATCCAATCATATTTATAATATATCTTACCTAATTAAATAAGACTATATAATTTAATAATGAAACAACTCTAGTTCATAATAGGATACAAGAATAATAGAATAGTAATGGGAATATGTGATGATTTTTTTTTTCATGATTATTAGCTTTTCCAAGAAAATTTTAAGCAGGTTTTAATAGGGAAAAAAAAACTTTTGTTCTACGTATTGTTGTAATTTATCCACTAGAATCATAAATAAAGCAATATGAGTCTAACACTAAACTTGCTGGAAATAAATCTCAATATTATGATCAAACGATGCATAATTACACTTTTTTTTCTTTTTCTAAGTCATTTTATCTGTTTTTTCCTTCCCACTTTATATCTTACTTATACCTCAATTTTTATTATTTCCCTCTCTCCTCCCACGAAAAAGGAAAAACTAAAGACTTGTAAATAAATTCCTGCTATAATATGTTTCATTAATACGTAAAATAGTATTATGTACGTCATCGATGAATTAAAAAAAAAGAATAATATTTTCCTCAGGCAAAAATTGATGGATTTTCTTGACAAAAATAAATATATATGCATATTTATTATATGCTACGTTTTTCACTAGAAGTCAAACCATGGTCAATCAAGATTCCAAAGTAGTGGGTAAAGAAAAGGATCCTAATCGAACAAACAATTGGATGTGGTGCTATGGATAGATTCCAAATCCGTGGGACCCCCAGAGATCCAGATTCCTTCGGATTGAGTGCACGCACGTAGCTCCGGTGGTGATTTAGGCACCTTTGAAGGCATAATAGATTGTCTCATAAATGTGATGAATTGATGGAATTATTTTTCTATTTAAATTTGGGTGAAATAGATCGAGATTAAATCAGATATTATCATACTCCAAAAGGCTTAAAGCTCATTAAGTTATGAGTCAAATTCGACATACGCTGATCAACTCTTCAATTTGAAGAAAAGAATAGAAGATAAAAATAATTATTGAAAAAACTTTATTAAAGAAATGAAAAATGCTTCATGTTCCCTCTCCTATTTATACAAATTAGGATAAAGGATTTTCCTCAACAGAATAGAGGATAATCTTTAGTAACATTTCTGTCACTTCTCAACAATGAATGGGATTTGGATGCATAGGTCTCGTAGGCTTCATGTTATGATTGTTTCCTTGTAAATTAATAGATCAATGATGAGAACATCAATCTTTTTACATCTCATATCGATGAAAGCTTCATTCACCATAACTTTTCAACTCGGATGGAACCAAAAGTAGGGAACACACGTCCAATTATATATATATTTTTTCTCTCCAACTTTGATCATTATGAGGAGGAAACAAAGTTTCAGCATCAGATAGAGGGGGGTTAGACATTTTAGGTGGAATATTGTGTTGTATACGCAACTACTGATTGCTACTTAGAATTATATCTTAAGAGGCTGCAATCCAGAATGGTGTAGACATTTTAACCAGCAACTTGTTTTAGTATTTAGACCTTGCTTGGACGGTGAACCAACCTGGGCACATCTCACATCAAATTATTGATTGCTGTCAAATCCATAGTCACTTGGGGACGAAGGATTGCTGTTAAGTAGACAAAATGTAAAATGCCATCCACCAAGTCTCACCAATCATCATTGCTAATGAGTTAGTAAGAACAACATTGATTAGGTGAATAACACAGGAACAACTTTTTGAGTTCTATCATTGTGTATAATAATAGTCATTACCACCGCATGAAGGAACTCTGCATGGAGATGGATTTGGTCATTCATCACATCAACAAATTCTAATAAGATAGGAACCACATTTAAAAGAAAAATAAAAAATAAAAATCAATTTTTTTCTCTTAATTATGAGGATCATGATGAAAAAAAAAAAAAAAAAACTTTGCATACGAACAAATATAAGTAGGTCATAACATATAATGAAATTAAATAAAAATCACAATCAAATAGGACATCAAGATTTACATAGAAAACCCTTCGAATGTGAAGATTTAAATAATTAAATATGACATCAAGATGATTGAGAATAAATATGAGTAGATCGTAATATACAGCAAAATTAAATAAAGATTATAATTAAATATGACATCAAGATTTAAATAAAAAATCCCTCTAACATGAAGAGTAAAAAACAAAAAATTTATTATAAAAATAATAAATATATAAATCTCAGAATTTTTTTTATCTAAAATTCAAACAACAATCACAAAATAATAACAATAAAAGCTCTAAAATCTCCTCGAGTAATGATTTTACTGTAAATCTCTCTGGATGATTGAGAATGGTCTTTGTATTATCTTTGTCGATCATCCCACTAAGTTTTAGATGAAAGTTAGATTTAATCTTGAGCAGTGTGAAGCGTGAGGAATATTATGGAATCTTCGTTTAACCATTTTGTTACCGTGTTGATCCTTGTACATACCAACTTTTAGGCTTTACATTGCCTATTGAACTCTTAGATGAAGGTCAGACAAGAGAGGCAACAACCAACCAACACAAAGGGTAGAGACTGAGAAGACTCTCTCTCTCTCTCTCTATCTACTATTAGGGAGACCGATTGGACGTTATACAGAACCGGACATGAATAGTAGAGAGAGTATTCATACAGTGAAGCTTAACGGTATGATGTGAAGCTCATGAATGATCGATATGAATGATTGGACATTATACAGTGCCGCTTCACATGAGCTTTCTTCTTCTTAGATAGACATCCCTTGCACGCTTCAGCTGCTATCACCGAGGCATGCACCAAAATATTTTCAAAAAGTCTTTTATCTTTTCATTGGTTTGATGTCTTATTGGCCTCGTCAAGCAACCTATGTTACAAAGCCATCGTTTGGCATCCGCTGAAACAGCTACGAAGATGTAAACGAAAGAACAGCTGGGTAAATGTTCGAAGAAGGTTTCCTTTTATCACTAAACTGTTAAATTATATGATCCTTTATAATCGGATAAGATATATAATAGAATTAATTAGATTTTGATGATAATCAATAAAAAAAAATTATATTATAATAAGATTTATTAGGGGATGTTCTTGATGAGAGGAACTTTCCTAATAACTTATTCTAAACATTTTGTTCTCATCTATAAATAGGCATAACCTCTAAAGACTAAACGTATTACAGTTTTTTTTCTCAACTTTCTTGAACTATCAATCTAAGTGATTTTGGATCTGAAAACGATGTCTTTGCAGATCACA